CCGTGTATCGCACTGCTGGCTCTGCTATAGGTGTCCGTTGGTCGTGATGATGATGACTCCCCCAAAAATGGCACAACCCTTTACGAGGCATCGTCCACCAACAATGCAGCAGTTGATTTTGACAAATGAATTAAGAAATATAGAAGAAAATTTACGATAAGCTACGCCTTTAGGAGTTGAACGCGATAGCGATATCTTGTCCTAGTGCGTACTTTGAAAACTTGGTGAACAAATTATTTTCTAACTTGCTATGCACCGACTACGTGACCTTTAGGGAATAGGCACAGTAACGTGTCCGGTTTTGTAGTGGGCGCCTGTCTTTAAGCGATTCTAATAATAACATTTCCTCTGTACGCTTTCACCCCGTATTATTACTGCTATAATTCATGTTTTACGGTAAAACATGTGCAGGATTGGATTTTCGTTTTTGGGAATTTTCGATCTTGTTTTTGTTTACCTTCGCTTGTAGCTCATACAACTTTGGGGGATTAGCCGATAACTGGGGGGCCTCTTCGCATAATATTCAGTTTTAAATAAAAGAATTTACAAAATGCAAACTTTGCACATTGCAGAACAAAATTTTGATGGTTTCTGAAGTATACTTACTATAATACTTGCCGAAATTTCTCTGAAACGAGCTACTTAACCCTATCGCGTTAAACACAGAAAGGTATGCGAAAAAGATATTCCATAATAAAGCGAAAGTACTTCTGATAGTTTTAGTGTCTTTTAGAAAATGCTGCTCCATGTAAGGTAAAACTTGATTATAAATAAATAATAGAGATAATATATGAAATACATAAAATATATCTCAGATATTGCAAAACTTCATCTGATGATGCTCCTATATGGCTCAACTGCGCACTCTGTTTGAACGACAGGCTTTAGATCAGTGCTTAATATTTCCTAATTCAAACTATTAGCTAGTGATAAAGAAGCTCTATTGCCAGAACATAAATGAGGAAAAACTGGAAAGCGTAAAAGTGCGAACCGCGTTCGAGTGATCAAAAACTGAAATAGATTCGACACATTTTAAGCAAAAAGAAAGTCCGTCCAAGCAAATCACCCATGTCTTGGGTATATTAACATCTGTTGGGTATATTAAGAAAGCTAGACGTATTTCACACGCAGAACTAGTACAAAATTTTGAGGGATAACGATTCATGTATTAGTATCTTTATTATATATAGATCATAGATATGTGGGGTTTAATGTCCCAAAACCACCATATAATTATGAGGGACGCCGTAGTGCAGGGCTACGGATTTTTCGACCACCTTGGGTTCTTTAACGCGCTTCGAAATCTGAGCACAATTTTTGATAGACGGATAGTGAAAATTTCGTTTCATTTGGTTTAAAAAGTTTTCTAGACTTCCCTGCAATATAAACCGAGGAGTAGGCAGCTCTCATATACAATATTAAGGTATAGTACTGTTCATACAGTGTGGTAAAGTCGGGTAAGTAATGAATTGTGGCATCAACCATTATACGACTGCCGAGTGGTTACTATGTCCCAGATATTACTGGATCTGGCCTCAGTACTCTACTCTGAGTCATTAGTGACACTACATTACAATTTGTTAATCTATCATATGCCATGGCTTCTACCAATGATGTCAATTTACCTTATTTTGTAAGAGCCAATTGTATTTTTCTAGGGCAACCTCAAATATTATCACCACATCTAACCATCGGCCGTCTCCAGCTTCATTTGCTACATTGCCTTAACTGACCTGTTAAATCTACAAACTTATAAACACAGTACATGCTCCAGTTACGAAATAGCGAAGTTCTCCGTTCAATTACAATAAAGCAGCATCGCTTGCCTATTCATTTATCGTTCTCGCTTTCTGTCTGGCCACTCCCCGTCTAAGACGCGACAGAATCATAACCATCATTCGAAATGTTTTTGCAACGTGCTATCAAGAAATTCGGCCAAAAAGACTCCGCAGAATAGCCGAGTTTGAAGCGAGGCAGCAGAAAGCTTGAGCTGTTCTTAAAAATAACCACTCTAACAGCAGCTTTAGTGTGTATGTTGTACCTTTCCTTTGTAATACGTTGTTTTGGCTGGAAGGGCATTTATTGGGTCGCGTTTTGCACGTCACGCACGTAGATTTTGGTGCTCAAAATAAAACTTCACTCTTAATTTTCTGCCCTAATAATGAACTGACTGCACTGAATCCTATGGCATCAAGTTTCTCAGAGTTCAGTTTCACAATCTAAACCAAGCCATTTTTCCTCTGTAGTGTCCGTTTAAGAGGTGACGTCTTCTCTAAAACTGTGTATGGGCCTAGGAACCGATGCTGGTGTTTGCCACACAAATGAGCAGAGCGAATGGGTGTCAACAGCAAATTTGGCACCTGGTCTGCATATTACAGCACAATAAGGTGTTCCGGGCACCGTAATTCTTTACGGCAATCAAAATTCATTAGTAGCATTTCAGTAATAAAATTGAAATTTATTTACCTGGAACAATTATAACACGATGTCTTATTATTATATGCATGATTACGGGCACAAAAGTGCACTGTGAAACGGTGGCCATTATTAACAAAATTAGCACCTGTTCGCACAAAGTCTGGGACACTACAGAGTTGGTGGGTGGCTATCTGGTGCCGACTTTGACCTTTGCCCTTTCACCTGTCTCATTTTCATCCATTGCTTTCCTGTACTGCAAAAAGGGTTCGCTTGCTCTTTTTTCATTGTGCGTCTTTTCGACAATTTCACTCTGTCAATTTTTTTCACCATTTTTTATCTCTTTTTGCCTGTATTCCCTTTACCGCTATTTTTACGAGTCATTCTCTTCCCTTTCAGGCTTTCTGTAGTTGCTTTTACGCGTTACATCTTTTCTACTCAATCTCTTCTTTCTATCTGTCTCTCTCTCCTATTATTTCCAGCTCTTATCGGTGACACAAGAAAACATCTACCATGAAAGCTCTACTGGAAAATATTTAGAGTGCGTATGTGCCACAGAGATCAGGAAAATTCTACTAGTCTTCGCCGTTGTGGAGCAAAATAACAAGAAAACAAATGGGTGATAAACACCAAGGCATGTCCCAGCTTCTTTTTTTAACTTTCTGTACCGAGTACATGGCCGCTCATGGAGCGCATGCCTGTTCATGGTGATGATACTCGGCAATCGAAGACCACCGAAAACACCACGTGTCCACAGCTCTTCTGTAGAGAGATTGTGTTTCTAGTCACGCTAACACTTCTCAATTGTCTCCACAGATTTGCTGTAGATGCATGTTTTCCTTTGTGCTGCTACGAGGTATCACAACGTCTTTAAGTTCCATGAAAAGACGATTTCATTATTCTTTCTTCATGTACATGACTTACTTGAAACGTTTGTTACGTTACCTTGGTACTTTGCCTTTCTTTACTGTGATGTAATTGTTTTCTGAGACATTTACGATGGAGAACTGTTTCAAATTTGTTTTCACCCGTCATTAATTTTGATATTCGACACAATCAAAATAACTTTTCCGTCATTACGAGATAAGTGCAAATCGAAATTGAAAAGCATTCTAATGTTTACAGAAACAGACACAAATATTGTAGATGTGGAATGACGTGCTAGCGCACTTAGTAGATAGAATAATGTTTTTATTGTACAGATGTTGAAAGTTCGGTCCTAACCAAAAACAACTTCTTTATCCGTTACTTTTATACCCATGTATTCATGTCAAATTTCGGCGATTCAAAAAGGTAATTGTGTTTTCATATGTTTTCTTTCGCTTCATTACCGATTAGGTTTGTAGGCTACTGCTTAAAATGAAAGATATAATCCGATAAACTTTTGCATGGCAAGCTGAATGTTTACATTTGATGAACGTTATTGGTCAATCCCCGTCTAAAAAACGAATTTCAGGTGATTATCTTCAATTGCTGAATTCGTGCTGAAATGCAAAATATATTTGGCTGCGTTATTTTTATTGGTAATATTTAAGCATATGATGTGAACTTCAACAACGCTCTGGGTCAAAACACCAGAGTAAAATCAGACAGGATGATTGATTGATATGTAGCGTTTAACGTCCCAAAACTACCATATGATTATGAGAGACGCTGTAGTGGAGGGCTGCAGAAATTTCGATTACCTGGGGTTCTTTAACGTGCACCCAAATTTGAGCACACGGGCCTACAACACTTCCACTGCGGGACCGAATCCATACTTCCAGCCGGGATTCGGTCCCGCAACCTGCGGGTCAGTAGCCGATTACCTTAGCCACTAAACCACCGCGGCGGGGCAGACAGGATGAACACATCATTCGTTCTTTCTACTTCTACTGAAGTGTCTCGACAAAAGCATTATTCAAGTTGTCATATTATGCCATGGAAATTAGCCCCTACAACACAAGCTCCATTAAAATACAGTACATGGATCACAATCAATCACTATTTGGCGCAACAACGTGGTAAAGGTGTTTAATTATACGTAAGTAAATGACTAAGACCACGATGATACTTTAAGAAACTGTGTACCCTAGTGGAAATGTGATAAATAGAACGAGATGACTTTAATACGGAATGAAATTGTCAAGATGAAATATCCCATACGAATGATTTTTTAAGATATTTATGTTTAATGATAACTGGGCGGCTGAAGGAGATTTTATTCGAAAATTTTTGCTTGAAATTTCATGACAAATACTTAGGCAACTAATAACAACTGCTAGTATACTTCAAACAACGTCAGCGTACGTTGAATTTCTATCTTTAAAAATTTTATTTTGGTCATGCCAATATTTCAAATATCTGGTTTTTTCGGCAACTTCCACAAGGTGTGATTTCTATAAGCGAGAGAATCACTTGGATGTAACGATGTAAGAAATGAAACTAGTTCTCAGAATACTTGTTTAATGTTCCCAAAATTTGTGGACACTTCTCCTGCAGACGTCAGTGCAGGATGTTTCTTAGAGACGCGGAAACAGTCCTCGTGTCCTCTCGCGTGTTGCTGTAGTGTTTCTAATCAATGCAAAATTGAAGACAAGTTGTGCTCATATTCTTACGATTGTTTATTAACTTCTCCAAACAATTTTCGCGTGTTGCGGAACATACATACATAAGCATCGAACTATAGGCAAATTACCTTCATTTTACGCCCAGAATCCGCATCTTTCTGCGGGATTCATGAGGTCTCCTGCAGAGCACTCAAAGGCCTTTGAGAATTCCGGCATGTTCATCAAAGGAACGATGCACCGGGACCGGTCTGGAGCGTATCGTCCCGATCCAAATTGAACCTCTCTGCACCACTTCACACAATGAGAAATAAAGTACAGACGTTCTGCTGTGATGTTCGTGCCGCTCAAAATACGCGTCCGCTGGCTCCGCGGCAATGAAGAGAAGCCGTCGTACGCTATTTTCACGCCAACGAGGTCGGCCAGGTTTTCAGAGTCGTAGAAGTTGCTCAACTCCTGACGAGCCTTCTGTCGTTCCTGCGCATTGTGACCACAGCACAAATCACCTGTCTCGTAAGTGAACGCCACAGGTAGAGTGAGCTAAACCAAATACGCTTAATTTCGTTAGCTGGTGCAACGGCGCAGCACGATCATTTTTATGGTGCGCTACATTGCCATAAACACAGCTCCCTGGTTACCTAGAATATAACAAACTGCAACAAAATTACTGAAGAAAGGGCAAAAACCGTCTGCACACTGTAAGAAGTACAGTTTTCTTAATCGAAGTCTTGTGACTGAAGTGATGTCCTGGTCATCGTTGTGTTACGTAGATTTGTTAAAGTTCACGGCGTTTTCATGAAGTCAAGCTAACACGTGTATCTATAATTTTCCGCGAGTACAACAAAATGAAGGGACTCAATTAAAAAGGAGCTTGGTAAGCTGCTCAATAATTGTTATAGTGTGTAAGCACAGCACGGTAAAAAAAACAGGAAGGTGAAAAGAACAACACCTGTTTTTATTATTTAGTTTTCTTTTTTCATGCGTGCCGCAATGCTTCGCTCACTAGTTATGAAGGAAACGTCCCCTAGAGATTCATACATGCTGCTACTTGATCCAAACCAGAAGCGTTCGCCAGCAAACGAGCAGAACACGTGGGAAAATTTCAGCAGTTATATCAATGCTGTCAACAGGCGCAGGTGTGCAAACGGTTTCCTTAACTAAAAAAAGAAATTCTAAAAGCCATTCAATAGAATTGACGATAATGGTCTTGAAATAATGTTAGTGAAGAAACCCGACAACAGTTGCGGATGCTATCTAGCTTGTGCCCGTTTTATGAGCAGTTACGCAAGTATTTAGCTCTAAGGAGACAAGCCTCCACCCCCAATGTTGGGTCTTGCTAGACTGAATATCATGTGTGCTCTTCAAATGGGATGACCACAGGAAGAAGAGCAGACTCTGGTCGACATCTTTTGTACAAATACAAATACTTCCGTTACTGCTGTGCCTCACGCGTAATATATATATATATATATATATATATATATATATATATATATATATATATATATATATATATATATATATATATATATATAGTCAAGTAGATCCTCCGTGAGCGGTCACAACGTGATTCATTTCGACGTTTCAGCCTAGAGTCTGGCCTTCATTATCCTGAAGAAGGCCAGACTCTGAACACCATTAGTCTAGTTATACTTAGAGCGAGACGCACCGAAAGCAGAATAAATAACGTATATTTGATACATATAATGCATTACAATAACAATCATCTTTGTATTACGCACCACACACTGCACACTAGTAATTGTTTTCGTAACGAAACAATGATACAGGCATACATTTAAGTATTCTTTTTTTTCAAGAACGACAAGCGCCTGGAACAAAATAGCGAAGGAAGTTCTGTAGCGTACTTTCCCCCAAGTAGGAGCGAAAACAACACACCTACATTTCTTGAAGCTTGGGACAAGACTACTAAAAACAAGAGAGGTGAACTATTTCATGCGGTAATATTTTGCGACGAGTGCGGAAAGCAAATTAGAGTGCTTTACACACGGTTGCTGCAATTAGCGAAACGATTGCATGATGCTAATTAAATGCGTAGAAGAACGGGCCCGTTGAACAAAACGTAAATCTCAAAAGTTTTGTGGCTCGGGCGCTTCATTGTAAAAAATTCATTTTTTAGAACTACTATTTTTTTTACCTTCCCTTCACTTTCATCTCATGAGACAACACGTTGTGCTTGCAAAAAAAAAAGGTGTTCTTAAGCTAGTGCATAGAGCACCCATTCTTAGCAATCTGTTTTTATCCAGTCTAAGTACTGCCTTGTGCACAACGTTAACTAACAACTCAGGGTTGAAAGCATTTTGTTTTGTCCATGATTTCCTGTTTTTATTTGACTGTGCACCTTTGGACTTAGAAGCGAAGGTTGACAAAGTGTTACCTGTGATTATTGATAATCTCGCACTCCTTAAAATTACTTGCGAACTTCCTACATGTTCGCAAGTTTATATCTGGTTTTTGCATACTCGTTTGTTTTTTATAGAAAAGCACACACTCTGGTCGTATGAGCCCCGGATGAATATACCTCTTCTTTCTTTTGTCTCGGGGCATTCAAAGCTGATAAAGAGAGGAATAGAAAACTTCTGTTTTAGAAATGCCCTGACCAAATCGTGGTACCACAAGATGGCGTCCAGTTTTAAGACTCGGGGCACACGTCTCACCGAAGCAGGGTACGCAGTTATGGTGCAGGTCTCTGTAGCTGATCGCATCCTGAAAGTTTCACACCAAGGCAGGCAGGAAGTGTTGGAGTGTTTGGGCAGCAAATTAGGTGTAATCCCGTAAATGCACACTATCTTTATTAACTTCATGAAAGTGCCCCAGCGGGCTAACGTAGTCATGGCATTTTAGCCCTTTTCATCCCCAAAACTAGGAGAGCTTAGCAAGTTGACCTGCCCAAATAATGACATTCGCTTGGTCTGTGATAAGAGACACCAGGTTAGATATGTAAATTTTTTGGGCTGCGTTGTGTACATGTTTCCGTTGTCGTGTGGAAAGTATATAGTATATACGACACACCTAGCGCTGTCTTAATGATGGACAACGTGAACATGACTACAACGCAATAAAAACTTTCAGGGGAAGGTTTCCTTGCGGCGCACTGTAGCGCTTGTGCGTGTTACCCTGATCTGTACAGCTGCACCAATATAGATCGGTCTCACAATCAGCTGACACGCAAAATCAATGAAGCTGAAGCTATAACAGAAATAGGAAACTCGCGTGCGAGTTCACCCTTGATAGCACTGATGAAAAAAATGACGTTTCTTGGTGTGACACGACGTCCAAGATGAGTTGTGTTTTTATGCATATATAAGGTGGATGTCAAGGGCATGAAATGAACAGGTGGAAGTTCACTGCCTACTTTTATAAACGTCTTTGTCGACTTTCCCCTTTCATTTCTATATGTGCCGCATTATTACGAGCTAAGTTTAAGGAGGTCAAAAGGTGTTGTCAAGGCTGTCTTTGGAATCACGCTTGGTTTTATTGGAATCTGGTGATGAGTGGCCATCAGATCCAGCTTACTGAATATGGTCATTCCCGCGAGGTGAGTGCTCAAATGATGGATGTGATGGAGAGGATAATGGTCTGCTGTTGTCACAGCATTGAGTGCCCAATAATCGCCACAAGGCCGCTAGTCACCAGGCCGCTAGTCTATCAGCCCCATTTGCAGCGCTGATGACCAGTTGCTGGTAGATGGCCGGATAATGCTGAGTTGCAGCATGTGATAGAACCCCCGGCGGGAGACTTCGCGTCTTTGTCCAGTGAGCGTCCTAGGTGTAGCGTGGACGGGTGGTCGGGTGGTGACAATTTGATGCATCACGTTGTGCTTGATTGACAGTTCGGTGTTCTGAAGTTTGTTGATATCCGGGAATTCCGCCAGAATATTCTGAAAGCGTGACGCTGGTTTGTAAGTGCAAATGCCGCTTGAGAATAGGTCAGACTTCAGTCCGACAACTGGGAGCGTAGTTACCTTGTCTTTGAGACGATGCTCCTGAACGCTAACGTCGAGATTGAAATGGATCATAGCGTCCGCGCCCAGAATGGCAATTCTGACGTCGGCCATAACGAAGAGCCAATAAAATTTGTTCCCGAGTCCGATGTCTATAGTCATCAACTGCACTTCATATGATGCGGTAGCAGTATTATTAACTGCAATTGGGCTGGAAATGGACTTGCCAGGTCGGCGATGTTGAGCTGTTGCCGGTAGGATGGATAGCTCAGCTCCGGTATCGACAAGTAGGCGAGTCACAGTGATGCGGTCGACCACGAAGAAGAGGTGGCTTGAGCGATGTCCCGTGTCGCACTCCGCCATTAGCGACTGACAGGTGCATTTCCCGTCCACAAGTATGGTTGGGTGCAGCAGGTGGCTTGCTCTCTGAAACGGCGATGGTACCAGCAGACGCTCTGCTCTGTCTCTCTTGAGTGGTCGCGGTGCTGCGGACATTGAGCACGTGAGGATGAACGCTGCCATGCAGTACGATGTTTGTACGACAGGGCGAGGTTTTGAATCGCTGCTGTCCGTAGAAAGCAAACTAGATTGAGCGTCAAAAATTCGACGGGCGTCGATCGGATGCACGTGACCGAGGACATTCACCATAGAATAAAGGTAAAGGCCCTTCCAGCGTATTGAACACGAGCATCTTCGTGACGCCATGGTGGAGAGTAAGGATAGCAATGGGCAGTGGAGAACATTTGCGTGAATGAACAGGGTAGAGGGCCGTAAATAAAACATCACCGTCGGGAAATAGCGTCACACGACACAGTCACCAGCAGAGAAGAGCGCGGTGGTACGGTGGTGTCGTCGGAAACAAACAGTTTTATAACACGACAGGGAGGCTTCGAAAGCGTCTACATCAGGAAGTGCAGATAGCTCAAGTTCAGCGTGACAGCAGTCAATGACTGCATTATATTCGCAAGGAAGTCCCAGCCGAGTATCATGTCATGGGAACACGAGGGCAGCACTACGAATTCGACGATATACACAATCCCTTCGATGACGACTCGTGTGGTACAGGCTGCGAGAGGTGTTACACTTTGTGCGTTAGCCGTTCTAAGAGAGTTAGCCGTTCTAAGAGAGAGGCCGGATAATGGCATCAGAACTTTGCGGAGTTTGCGGCACAGGTTGATGGAAACGACGGATAGAGCGGCTCCAGTGTCGACAGCGCCATGACGACGATACCATCGACTGACACTTCAATGACGTTAGCTTGACAGGGGCGAGGACTTGTGCATGGCGACGGGGACGCAGTTCGTGCCTCGGGAACTGCGGCCGTTAGTTTTCCTGGTCGGTGGGTCCGGAACGACGACGCATAGGGGAAAGTGAACGTCGACGTGGAGATGGGGAGCGGCGGGTCGGGCCGTGTGGACGATCAGAAGGAAAGAAAGAGGAAGGAGGGCATTGAAGGCGTAGAAGAAAACTGAGGGTCGAAAGAGGGCATTCGTCAAAGTTCTGAGCAGCCTGGCGACGACGACATTAACGTGCCACGTGGCCAACACCACCACAAGCAAAACATATGGGACGGTTGTCGTAGGTCCTCCATTGGTCGGAGTAGACTCCGACTTGCTGCTGGGGGGCAGAAAACTGCGGCCGAGGTGGTATCGGCATAGGCGGCGGTGAATAGGTCGGTGGCAAAAAGGGCGGCGGAAAATACATAGGCGCTGGCTGGAACGCAGGCTGTCGAGGTCGAGCAACGGCCTCGGCGTACGTGAGAGGTGCGGCGACTGGGGGCGGTTCACGGGCGGGAGGAAGAACTTGTGCGACGTGGTCTTGAATGAAGTCGCGGAGTGTAGATGTCAATCTGCGTGGTTGATCGGGTACGCAGGACATCAAAGAGAGCTGACGAGCGACCTCAGCGCGGATGAACTCTTGGATCTTGGAGAGAAGAGGGGCATGGTCTTCTCCTATGCCAAGTGTGGAAAGGCTGGATGAAGAGTCGTCGAGCACCGAGAGACGTCGGGTGGAAAGACGTTGCCTGCGCAACTCGTCAAAACTCTGGCATAACTCGGTCAGTTCTAGGACAATGCAAGGACTCTTAGAAAGCAACATTTGGAAAGCGTCGTCCTCAATTCCCTTCATGATATGCTTGATCTTAAGCTCTTCGGACATCGACTCGTTGACTCGCTTGCAAAGGTCCAAAACGTCCTCAATATAGCTTGTGAAATTCTCACCAAGCTGCTGGGACCGAGTATGTAAGCGTTGTTTGGCACGGCGTTTGCGTACCTCAGGCCGCCCGAAAACTTGTGTGAGGCTCGTTTTGAAAACCGACCATGTAGGGAGTTCCGCTTCGTGGTTTATAAACCACAGCTTGGCCACGTCCGACAGGTAGAAGGAGACGTAGGCCAACTTGGCGGCGTCATCCCATTTGTTGTGAGTACTCACTCGCTCGTACATTGAAATCCAGTCGTCAACGTCCTTGTCTTCTGTGCCTGAGAAAACAGGGGGATCTCGCAGACGCAGAGAACTGGCGCAGAGAACAGTAGGTGGTGCCGGTGGAGGAGTTGGAGTAGCGCTTGCGTCGGTAGGCATAATGGATGGTAAAATGCGATTCCGAAGCTCCAGGGTGATCGAAGCCCAGCAGAATCCACCACTTGTAACGGGGTTTATTTGCAGCGCAGAACGCAGAAAGCGAAGCAGTCAGCAGCGTCCGGCCAAGCACAGCAAGCACGAGGTTATGCTGATGGCGATGCCCCTGATGCGCCGAAAAATGCCGCTGAAGCTCCTCTTCTTCACTACAATATATATATATATATATATATATATATATATATATATATATATCACTCTTACAGACAAAAGAAACGTTGCTAAACTTGAGAAAATTCAAACATCCGAGGTCCGATTTATGTATACTTATTACAAACGCAGAGACAGTCTGGCTGATGCACTGAGCTCCATTAGTCTAGTTATACTTAGAGCTAGACGCACCTAAAACAGATTAAATAACTTATATTTGATACATATATTGCATTACAATAACAATCATCTTTGTATTACGCACCACACACTGCACACTAGTGATTGTTTTCGTAACGGAACAATGATACAGGCATACAGCTGATCAATCGATACATTTAGGTATTCTTTTTTTTTCAAGAACGACAAGCGCCTGGAACAAAATACCGAAGAAAGTTCTGTAGCGTACTTTCCCCCAAGTAGAAGCGAAAACAACACACCTACGTTTCTTGAAGCTTGGGACAAGACTACTAAAAACAAGAGAGGTTAACTATTTCATGCGGTATTATTTAGCGACGAGTGCGGAAAGCAAAATAGAGTGCTTTTCACATTGTTGCTGCAATTAGTGAAACGATTGTATGATGCTAATGAAATGAGTAGAAGAACGGGCCCGTTGAACAAAAGGTAAATCTCAAAAGCTTTGTGGCTCGGGCGCTTCACTGTCAACAATTTATTGTTTAGAACTACAATCTTTTCTACCTTCCCTTCACTTTCATCTCATGAGACAACGCGTTGTGCTTGCCAAAAAAAGGTGTTCTTAAGCTATTGCATAGAGCACCCATTCTTAGCACTTTGTTTTTATCCAGTCTAAGTACTGCCTTGTGTACAACGTTAACTAACACCTCAGGGTTGAAAGCATTTTGTTTTGTCCATGATTTCCTGTTTTTATTTGACTGTGCACCTTTTGACTTAGAAGCGAAGGTCGACAAAGTGTTACCTGCGATTAGGGATAATCTCGCACTCCTTAAATTTACTTGCGAACTTCCTACATGTTCGCAAGTCTCTATCTGGTTTTTGCATACTCGGTTGTTTTTTATAGGAAAGCACACATGCTGGTCGTATGAGTCCCGGATAAATATACCTCTTCTTTCTTTTGTTTCGGGGCATTCAAAGCTGAAAAAGAGAGGAATAGAAAACTTCTGTTTTAGAAATGCCCTGACCAAATCGTGGCACCACAAGATGGCGTCCAGTTTTAAGACTCGGGGCACACGTCTCACCGAAGCAGGGTACGCAGTTATGCTGCAGGTCTCTGTAGCTGATCGCATCCTGAAAGTTTCACACCAAGGCAGGCAGGAAGCGTTGGAGTGTTTGGGCAGCAGATTAGGTGTAATCCTGTCGCCACAAGGCCGCTAGTCACCAGGCTGCTAGTCTATCAGCCCAATGTGCAGCGCTGATGACTAGTTGCTGGTAGAAGGCCGGATAATGCTGAGTTGCAGCATGTGATAGAACCCCCGGCGGGAGACTTCGCGTCTTTGTCCAGTGAGCGTCCTAGGTGTAGCGTTGACGGGTGGTGACAATGTGATGCATCCCGTTGTGCTTGATTGGCAGTTCGGTGTTCTGAAGTTTGTTGATATCCGGGAATTCCGCCAGAATATTTTGAAAGCGTGACGCTGGTTTGTAAGTGCAAATGCCGCTTGAGAATAGGTCAGATTTCAGTCCGAACACTGGGAGCGTAGTGACCTTGTCTTTGAGACGATGCTCCTGAACGCTAACGTCGAGATTGAAATGGCTCATAACGTCCGCGCACAGAATGGCAAATCTGACATCAGCCATAACGAAGAGCCAATGAAATTTTTTCCCGAGTCCGATGTCTATAGTCATCAACTGCACTTCATATGATGCGGTAGCAGTATTATTGACTGCAATTAGGCTGGAAATGGACTTGCCAGGTCGGCGATGTTGAGTTGTTGCCGGTAGGATGGATAGCTCAGCTCCGGTATGAACAAGTAGGCGAATCACAGTGATGCGGTCGACCACGAAGAAGAGGTGGCTTGAGCGATGTCCCGTGTCGCACTCCGCCATTAGCGACTGTCAGGTGCATTTGCCGTCCACAAGTATGGTTGGGTGCAGCAAGTGGCTGGCTCTCTGAAACGGCGATGGTACCAGCAGACACTCTGCTATGTCTCTCTTGAGTAGTCGCGGTGCTGCGGACATTGAGCACGTGAGGATTAACCCTGCCATGCAGTACGATGTTTGTACGACAGGGCAAGGTTTTGAATTGCTGCTGCCAGTCTGTCCACTCTGTCCTCTAAGCGACGTATTCGGTCCACATGTTCGGACATTTCTACAGCCAGATTAGGCGTTTGTGATTGGTCGGTGCTGACGGTGATGCGGTCGGCAAGTTGAGCCAGACGCTCAAGGGTCACGCCGTCCGGGCCGGCGAGTATCATCCGTGTTGACTGTGGTAGTCTCTGCAAAAAACAACTCTCGAAGCAATGGTTGTTGCTGCTACTCTGACGCTGGTTGGCTGAATAGCTAGAGCATTTGGTTAAGTAGTTAAGATGAACGCTGGTCGCCGAGCTCTTCTTGAGACAGGAGTTGTTGCATCATGCTCTGTTCGAACACCTCAAGACGGTTCAGGATGGTGCTCTTAAGGTCATCATAAGCCTTTTCAAATAGAGTGGAGGCGAGCACATCGCCTATAGCGTCAGCGATGTCAGGTGGCAGAGCTGCTGCAACTTGGGAGTATTTCATCTCCTGTGATGTGATGCGGCGAAGCTGGAAGCGGGCCTTGACTTGGCTGAACCAGACCTTGGGGTTTTTTAAGCCAGAAATGAGGAATTTTTAACTCTGGGGCGTTGGTTGCGAATGAGCTTGAAGTGCCAGCTTCGGATTTCATGAATGCTGTTTTTTTCTAACGTCCGGGTCACGACTTTGTAGCGTACATGCTCTAAGTAGGAGCAAAAAAAAACACACTCACATTTCTTGAAGCTTGGCACAAGACAACTTTATTTGTCACAGAAAACAAGAATATAAAAGAAGATAACACAAAAAGGGGCGTTGCTGCGTATGTATTACGGCAAGCCGGAGATAACGTGAGGGTTGACGGCGCACGCGCCGTGCGCCTCGGCATTTGAATCGTTACCCGCACACAGCAAAAAACAAATGCTGCAAACGGCATTCACTGCCGCTATAGTTTGACTGTACAGGTTGTTATATCGAAACTGCGAGAAATACTTTCATAATAGCATCCTTATATTGTTGTATTTTAATTGCACTGTTGCATGTGTTGATTTTTTGTCAACGGGCGTGTAATGACTTGTATGTGTGCTTTTGATGTGATGATACTTGTGTTCACTCTGGCTTTCAGTCAAGTGACTGTGCAATATGCCTAAATAATATATATATATATATATATATATATATATATATATATATATATATATATATATATATATATATATATATATATTCAAATTCGTGCGCCTAAGCTTCGGCCTTTTCTCACACGCTAATTTTATCGTGGAATGTGGTCTATATTGATTTAAATGGCCACATCCCGTGGCCTGCCTTCGCAATACATGCAATGCCCATTAATATTTCTTCCTCATTTCGGCTTAAATGACCATAACACTATTTGACTCCTGACCCCACTTCTCTCGCTATTCCAGAGTTCATGTTACAATCGTAGTTTTTTTTGCCTTCAGCTATTATTCTCTATAGTACTAAACGCTGCTGTGCAGACCAAACTGTCCAGGTGCTTTTTATACTTACGACGCTTCTGTGCATTTGTCGTAGACACATGGCCCTCTTAGTGTATTCCTTCATGAATGCGGCTGAAGCCCATCGCGCATATTTACGCTGGTCGTTGTATCGCAGCCCTTGAATGTCGAATGCATGCATCATTTCATGCCCAACGATCTGGAAGGTGGTAACGTTTCTTTTGTTTTATTTGCGAATATATTTGCATGACGATGAAATCAATATTGTTCTAGATTAGCAGTTGATAGTTCAGCATCCCCTTGAAGTGAGCTTACGAGGGAATACTATAAAGAAATTGTTGAAGCGTAATGTCCCAAACCATCATATGAATATGACAAAAGCCGTAATCGAGGACATCAAAACTTTGTACCACTTAAGGTGTTTATTGTGCACCTAAATCTAGATACACGAGTCTCAAGCATTTTCTCTTCTATCTAGAATGCTGCTTCCGCGACCAGAACTCGATTCTGGTAGCTGTGGGGCTGAAGTTGAGCACGTTAGGTACCCGACCACCCTGGAGGGTCTGAATAAAAGGTTACATCGCGTTGAAACGTCAAGCATCACTGAACATGCAGGGCATTCTTTACAGAGCGTGTGAGCGTTACTGACCATAAAACGTAGAACTCATCCCCTTGTGGTTGTTTTCGAATAAGGAGACACGTCAACTAAGTTTTACAATGTGAAGGAAATAGTTTTATGCATATATATAAATATATGCATATATGCATATATATATATATATATATATATATATATATATATATATATATATATATATATATATATATATATATATATATATATATATATATATATATATATATATATATATGCTGGGAGATGATTTAGACTCCAATCAAAAGTTTTGAAGAAACCCGACGTTTCGGAACCGACTTGCTTCCTTCCTCAAGGGTTACTGTGGAGGCTACGTAGCAGCGGCATCTTCAAAACACTCGCGGGGTGGATAATGACCCCCCCCCCCTCTTTCTCTCTCGTTTTGCCGTGAAAGCGCAGTCCGTGTGTATACACAGGGGGAAGGGTTCCGAGAGAGCGGTTGATGTTACGGGCTGCCCTCTGTATGTGCCACGACTCGACTAACAACCTCCTCCCCCAGTACGGCTCGCTTTCAAAAATGGCCGTCGCTTTGAAATTCAATTGGTGATCGAACGTCTCAGCATGTTCGGCGACTGCGCTGCGCTCTTTGTAGAACTTCCGCACATCGTTCTTAGTAGTAGAATTTCCGCACATCGCATATATACTGCTTCGTCACATAAACAGTGACCTCTTGAAACGCTTCAAGCAGAAAAACACATTTCCTCACGTATTTATCGCTACATGAGATATTGAAATATTGCGTTAACCTATTAGGTTTCACTACAAGCTAATCAGTGACACTTGGAACAATAAACCTGAATATTACGAAATCAACCTCTTTCTCTTAAATTTAGATTTGAACAACCTATGGAAGCAAGTGAGTTCTTTCACTAAAAGCACGGCAACATTAAATATAGTGGGATGCAATGCTGCCCTTAGTGACACTCGCTTATAAAACTGCTCCTCAACGCACTACCGGCTTGCCTCATTCATGACCACTCACCGAGCCTCAGTCTGGACGTCTCTTTCCATTTGGTCCCCGCACCCTCCACACCTCCTTTCTCTGAACAATTTTTATCTCATCTCGCACACTGACGTCACCTGGGTCACGTTAACACCGGCCTCTCTTAGGAAAGTAGGAGGTCTCGCTACGACTCGTCTCACCGTGTTGTGACTTTTTCCCTGGCGACGACGTTGAGCTCATGGCTCCACTTCACGTCCTCAGCTTATGCGACAAGTTTATCAGTCGCTTTATGGCTCCGTACACAGTGGTCGAACAGATATCTCCTACCAATTACGGTGTTTATCCCCTTAGCACTAAACTTGGTCACCGATGCCGAGAGAGATAGTACATGTATCTCGTTTAAAGCCTTATACGCGACGCATTTTATGATACTCTCAGGGAGCCAGGTGGCTGCTTCCACCATGCGGGGCAATTAGTGTGAGCATGACAAGTGAATGAGTCTTCATTCTCTTTACATATCATTAAGACCTGTACATCTGCGTCATCTGCACATATCATCATCAGCGTGATTTAGCTAGAGCTTGGTTGAATAAACTGGTTGCTCACGATACTGACACAACAAAGAGTTAGTGATATCAATATAAACGACACAAAACTGGCGAATGCGTTTAACGAATACTTTCTAAATGTGGCTCTTAGCGACGAAAAGGCAATGCGATTTGAAAATTAGGCAAGTGATTCTAAGACCTCTCTTAATACACAATGTATTACCAGATAGAGTTTTCATATATGTATAAAATAAATGAAGACAAACATTTCGAGTGCTTCTGATGACATAAAGGTGGCTCCAGTTAGAGCCATCGCATCTGCACTCAGCCCTAAAATAGCGTATCTTATAAACTATTCCGTTCTGACCAGAAGCCTACCCACCAAACTTAGGGTGGCCAAAGTTACAACATTTTCTATGGATGACAACGCTGGTGAATTGACTACACCCGATATTCGTAATACCTGTCGTTTCAACAATTTATGAAACAATTGTAAACACACTCATCATCAAGTATTTTTGAGAAATATATAATGTTGTCGCCGCATCAGTATGGTTTTTGCAAAAATAAGAAAATGGAAGAGGCACTAAATAACATAAGAAGTCGTATAATGAAAAATATTGAATGTAACATTTACACTTAGGGGTGTCTTTCTTCACTTTCGCAAAGCGCTTTACCCTGTTTACTACCATCTCTTACTGCTGAAATTAAGCCGTTTTGGAATTTGGAGAGAATTCGGAAAGCTACTTATCATGTATATTTCTATTTGTCGGTATGTATATACCGTGAAAAGTCCGAATACCTAAAAAAAAAGGGACTTCGACAGGGTCCTTTTTGGGCCCCATACTCTTTCTTTAGATATAGGTGATATTACACAAGCTCAACACAGGCCGAAAATTAATGTGTTCGCTCACGACACAAGTATCTTGTTCACAGGCTGTCCTTTAGGCAATAGAAGGTTAAAGAAATCTATATTTGTAAAAACTGCCGGTTTGGCTAACAAAAAAAAAAAAGACTAAGACTGAGAATAGACCACGGCATATGATGCCATAGGCCGTGCCACTGTTTTTTACCTCGGTTTGGTTATAGGTCGAACTACTATTTTCGATTATTTGCACACATCCAAAAACTTGTTAAGCGACACTGACGTCGCAAATTTAGTTCGACGGGCTCTTTAATGCTACTCCGCTTTTCAGATTGCAAAGCCAACATTACATATTTGGGGCTTTTTTTCACACGCTCTGCTTCGCTGTTACACTGTGCGTGGCTACCCACAATGGAACAAAAGTGCTTGAAGCGATGGAGTTTCTGGAGCCGATCCCCCAAATCACCACGTTTTTTTGTTTGTACAACAAAAAGTTATTGAAGTCATACATTGGTTCACAAGGCAGTGAGTGGCATGTGTGCACAAAAAAAAGTTAGGTTAATTATAAATGAGAAGAAACTTAAGCATGTGAGAAGCGGTCACCATTATGTTTGCTGTCAAAAGACAGCCCTGCAACTAGCGAGAAACCTGAGGTTTTTGTCAAACAGTGCAACAACAACAAAAAACGAGGATACTGCAAGAAGACAACACAAATGCTATACTTCAGCAAACAAAAAAAAGGTCAGTCGAAGGTTAGCGCCCGCGTTCTCGTCTTGCTGTCTTGTGTTTTTTATTTGCGCTATTTTACAATGTATCCCCTACGAGCTCGGCTTTCTGTACTGCTGATGTTTTTGTGCGCGAGGAAGCCAGATTGTTAAACTGAGGGAAGACATCGAAAGGAGATTCGAAATAAACGCATGGTGGGGACAAAACGACAAAATTAGTTAAGACTACTAACTTCTCCGCAGTATATGTGCAAGCACATTTAAGCAGTGTGTCACGGACCACAATTTCTGTGACCCGGTGTCACGCCAAGTTAACAGGCGCCGCGCTTTTCTCAGCGACCATGAGAGCGCTTGGGCATCGAAAGAGTTTGTAATTGTGCCGCGGGTGTGTTCATATCGGACGTAAACCGCTTATAGGATTAACGCTTTGTGTCTGTGTCAACGAGAAGCAGCCACCAAAAATCCCGAACTAAAGTTTGGGCAACCGAATGCGCCAGCTGGGAATCGAGGCAAGCGTCCCTTCCCAAGGTATACAATCAATACGCCGGCGAAATGTAGGCGATCACCTCACAAGTTTGTCCCTCTCGCTCAGCTGAGAACACGGACCTTTTATGCAAAAGGGCGTGATTGTAATATATTTTTAAGGTGGAGTTTGAACAATGTCATGCGCATGACTGGGCCGATTTTGATGGCCCTCGTTTCCCCCTAGTAGAGAATGAGGGGCAGAAAGGCGATTCGAGCGCAGGATATTGCCCTGCTAATCAGTCTGCGGCTGCTTGTACAAAATGAGGTAGAAGACTACAATCCGGTATCTCGATTCTAGAAGCTTCTAGTGTAGCTTTGTATCAGCTGGCCACCTGAACATAGCCCTTTGTCTAGTTGAGACGCGTAATGAACGTCTGCCACGTAGACGTCGGAGTTTCAACTTAGGTTAGCTGAACCTGCTTTTGTTCACCGTCAAGCTCCAGCTTACGGAACGTCAGCGTTGCAACGCCACCGGCATGCATCTCAGTCATGCCAGAACTCTTCGGAACTCCTCGAATCCGATCGTCGCGGACTCAACGCTGCCGTTCATCGCGCATATACCATCATCTGCTTATACTTCTGAGCTTCTACGTCTTCAGCTTATCCATTGCATCAGCTTATGTTGAGTACATGTATTAAACTGTTTATTTTATTGTGTGCTATTTTAATATCTGTTAATACTGCTGACATGCAAGCTCAAATGCTGTTTTTTCCTATGCATGTTTGTTATAGTTGTTTGAAGCACTGCATTCGTTGTGTCGCATACTAGTGTATTGATTCTATCGTTTCGTTGTGCCACACACATCTCTGATCTCTGCACTGCTGTCCTTGCGTACACAATGAACTAATCTTCTGTCATTACCGTCCCCGACTTCGCGCCGGCGACGCTAGAGGGTCAGCTTGTAATTCAGTGGCAACTTGAAATTCAGCTGAAAATTCTCTTCCCTTCTGATCATAAATGGACGGAAGAAACTCAGGAATTTCTCGTAGACACAAAGAATCACAAAGCAAACAAATTTTAAATTACTACCCAGCCGATTTGTAAAACACACGTCACTAAATTAATTGTTTGTGAAAGGACAAATCAGAAAGAGATTTATTATCAATATAATGCGTAAACACTTACCGCACCAAGCCCACCATAATTGAGAGCATCTATGCTGTCGTGAAAATACAACGGACGTGCGATAATGGCCGAGGCTATTGAGAGTGTGTTGTGGCCAGGTGCGTAATACGCGTTCACTTCCGTCTCGTCGTAAATCCATGTTTCTTGGTCGACCCAAAGCTGTTGTGCTGAAATCCCGATAGCCTTAATCCATGACGGGAAAAGGCTGTCGGTTGGCACGTCGGGGTATGATACTGCGCAATTGGAAAGAGAGAAGTTAAGTAATAAGCAATTGTGTTCATCCGAACCACTTTCTCGTGCCCTAAACAGTGAGGTATGTAAAATCAACACAACATTTTAAAAAAGTATATACAAGCGTACATTAGGAGGTCATTGATTTCTAAACGTGCCCTACAACACATTTTCAGCAACATCAGAAGAAGAAGTGGTGATTTCTCCGGCCATTATGGGAGCCAAATACCATAGCACAGCACACGGCCTCAGGTTAACGATTCTCAGTCAGCTAGAAATGATCTAGATTCTGGCAGGGACGCTGCCTCCACAATCAGTTCCGGCAGCGCAGCTGCCGCACTTGAGTTTACATCAGGACTTGCTCATTACCGAAGGTCAAACTCCCACGTCTTCACAGGTCGCCCTTGGACGCATGCGCACTGCTCTTTGAGCATTCTTAAAATCTAGTTTCTACTTCACCTGTTATATTATCAATTTTTCCCTTGTGTGCAATCACACTCACCTATAGGCTGCGCTTTTGAAAAAATACAAAAAAACTGGCAGAACCCACGTACAGTGGAATCGATGATATTCGAAGCACGAAGGATGAATGTGGATATGTTACTTTAAAATCAGCTCTACATTACGAGGTGGAGGTAAATGATGCAGTACATGCCTTCCGTGTCATGATTATCCTGTTTGAATGCGTCGTTTATTTTTGCCATCTATTCACGTCACGTGATACCAAATTTAGTATATGACGAGCTAGCGAAACAGCCGCAAGCACGCTAAGAGCTAGGTATGTTGTCACGTTTCTACATGACACGCGTGTCAGGATTATCATGTTTGCACCAGTCTTACGTTTCGCCATCCATTGACGTCACGTAACACCAAATTTGGTATATGTGGAGCAAGCAAAACGGCCGCGAGCACATCATGAAGGGCCCAATGTACTACAATGTAGCGTTGACGCGCACGCACGCTCGACTCAGTGACGCAACGTTAGCAAAACGCAAGCACTCTATAGTCTGACGCCAGGTGCGACCAGCGTCCATCAGCGCGGCCCTACGGCAACCGACGCGAAATGCGACATGCTGCATTTCGCGCCCGTGCGTTACCCAGACAACACCACGTCTCCCTCTTTTCGTGACGCGGGGACGCTGGACGTGCTGAAACACGCATGCGTCAAAGCAAGGCAGCGCGGCGCTTGCTTGCTACTGCATGGCAGGACTAGCGCCTGTCATA